TAATAGATCACTTTCTATTTGTACACATATCAGAGTGGTTCTGGTTCTCTGAAGAAGCATGCCTAATATTGGATTCTATACAAAATTAACTTTTAGAACTTCTTAGATCTCTCTTAGTGGCTTGTACATCAAAGGTCATTTTCTTCAAAATGTATTAAAATTTATTTTCTTAAAACGTATGCTAATTGTGCTCTCTACTACTTTCTCTGGATAATATAAGCCCATAAGAAAATGAGGTCACTTTCTCAGATTCTTATTTTTAGCTGTATATGGATTCAGTTGATTCCTTATAATGTCTTTATCCCTATTTTATTTTACCCCTCATTTAGGATTTATAAAAGTAATCATGAAATCATCATTTGTAATGTCTATCTGATCAGGATGTGTATACTCACACAACTATAGCCCTTCTGTGTTTCATTTCTTTTGTTTTCAATAAAGAAACATGATCTTATATTTCTGGTTTTTACCTTCTTATATGGAGCTTAACCATCACACTGCTTTTTGTTTGTTTTTAGTTTGAAGTCCATTTTTCTACTTTTTAAAATATTTTATTTTATTGTTCTAATTAGTTATACATGATAGTAGAATGCATTTTGACACATTATACATAAATGGAGTATAACTTCTCAGTCTCCTGGTTGTGATGTAGAGTTACACAGGTCATGTAACCATATACGCATATAGGGTCATAATGTCCAATTCATTCTATTATCCTTCCTCTCCCCATACCCCCTCACCTCCTTTCACTCCCTTCTGTCTAATCCAAAGTACTTCTATTCTTTCTTACTCCCCCACACCCTTATGGTGAAATAGCATCTGATTATCAGAGAAAACATTGAGCCTTTGGTTCTTTAGGATCGGCTTATTTTGCTTAGCATGATATTTTCCAGCTCCATCCATTTACCAGCAAATGCCATAATTTCATTCTTTAAGGCTGAGTAATATTCCATTGTGTATATATTTCAAATTTTCTTTATTAATTCATCTGTTGAAGGGCACCTAGTTTGGTTTCATAGTTTAGTCATTATGAATTGAGCTGCTATACATTGATGCATCACACTGCTTTTTGAATCTGTCTCTTCTACACATGTGTGGTAAGCAGAATGCAACCCCCTAAATGTGTCCATATCCTAATTTTCTGGACCCTATGAACTGTGTAATGATTGAAGAAACTTTGCAGATACAATTGAATTAAGGACCTTGAGATGAGGAATTATCCTGGACATACATAGGGGCCAATGCAAACTCAGGGATCATCATACATGAAAGAGCCAAAAGAGATCTGGAGACGCTGTGCAGTTGACCTTGAAGAGGAAAGAAGTGGACCATGAGCCAAATAATATGCAAGTGGTCTTTAAAACTATAAGAAAAGAAAATGAATGGTTCCTTAGATCCTCCCAAAAGAATTACTGTCTGGCAATCCTGAGTTTTGCCCAATGAGAACCAGACTTCTATTCTACGTTAATAAGAAGATAAGAAAATTTTGTTGTTCAAAGCCACTAAGTTTGTGGTTGCTGTTATAGTGTGTTATAGCTCAAATGTGAAGTGTCCCCATAAAGCTCACGTGTGAGACAATGAAAAAGGTTTAGAGGAAAAATGATGGGGTCATGATAATCTTAACCCCACTAAAATCCAATCAATGAATCAATCCCCTGATGGGATTAATTGGATGGTGGCTGAAGGCAGGTGAGGTGTGTCTGGAGAAGGTGGGAATGGAGGTGTGGCTTTGGGTATATATTTTGTATCTGGTGAGCGAAGCCTCTCTCTCTGCCTTCTGATGAACATGAGAGCTGCTTCCCTCCTGTAAACTCTTCTGCCATGTTGTTCTGCCACACCTCAAACCCCAAGGAATGGAACTAGCTGTCCATGGATTGAGACCTCTGAAACCATGAGCCTGCAAATAAACGTTTTCTTCTCTACAGTTGTTCTGGCCAGGTCTTTTAGTCACAGCAGTGAAAAGGCGGACTGAAACACAATGGCAATGGGAAACTATCTTAGCACAACTATCTCCAAAACATGAGTCTTTTTATACCTGTTCATCTCTTTAGAGTAAAAGAAAAAAAAATGTACCTATTTCTCGTTATTTGGATATAGTCCCTTTGGGGAAACTAGGGCAGCTAATCCCAAATTCTTTCTAAAAAAATGTTTCCTCTATCCTAGGAATGTGTTGTACTCTGCTTTAGAAGTCAAAAGTGTTAGGCTTTATCTTTCACCCATTATTTGGAGTGGGCTTACCCCGGGAGTTCTTGCACTATGGTTCTTTGCATCCCTACCGTGCCCTAATTACTCAGTTTTATATTGCCCCTCTTCTTCCACCCCCACTTGAATAGTCTTCTAACCACCATCCAAGACAACACATCCTTTTTCTTCACAACATTTGTAGGGTCAGCTTTTTTCACTGCACATTTTATTTTCCTTATAAAAATCTCCTCTTTCAACTGGAAAAAAGAAAAATATGCTCATCTATCCCTAAGATTCAAGGTTACTGACATAGAAAGCCTTTCCAGGTTTCCCAAACACTACTGCATAGACCCACGTGATTTAAACAAGGGAGTTTGAGCCCTGGAAGGCCTTCGGGTCACTTGCTGTTTTTCTCCATGAAGACAGGCTTCCTTCTGATGTGCTGTGCCCTTCTAGTTATACACGGCAGTCTGTTTCTTCAGCGATGAGTTAGTGAACATCATCAAGTCAAGCCCTGCCCTGCAGGGGCAAATGAAAGCTTTTCCTCTCATGTTGACTGTGAGCTGCTTTTGCTTCTCCGTCATCATCCTCCAAGGGGAGCATCCTATACATTCCCTGCCCCCTTGTCCTTTTCCATGCCACCATATCACAATCACTGACCTCACAACCTTGACCCAGAGCCTCTCCTTCAGGGCTCGGCTCAGACCTTGCAGAATCTACATATCCTGCATCATAAGTCCTTTTGCCCTTCACTGGGCAATAAATAAATACTCTCATCAACTTCCACAAAGATTCAGTATTTTTATTCCTGGAAGGTAGCAGTTTCTTGTCTTAACAATCTATCTAGTCTTGCTTTCTATACTGCCTTCAGGGTATAGGAACAGGAAACAGGGCCATAAACAGAGCAAATCTCACAGAAACATAAATGAGCAAAATTCCCCCAAATAAGTTCCTTACACTTTAAAACTGTCTTGATTACCTGAATGACTCTTGATGAGAGTTTAACCTAACAAAAACTTATCTGGTCAGTTTGGGAGAAATATGGCAGAAATCAACAATTCCTCAGAGACAGCAGATGAGTCTACTCTGCACTCATCTACCCAACCCTGGAGGAGTCCCAGATCCTTGCAATAGAATCCCAAGGCCTCTGAGAAGCAGTTTGAAAAACACTACAAGAAATATCTTTTCTCTAGGGTGAGGTTGTTTTGTTTTCTTTTTCTTTTTTTTTAAGGGGAGAAATCAGAAGTCCATCAATGGGAAAAAACAATAAATTAAATATGATATATTATTTCAGTATAACATGATACAACAGTGATATAAAAGTATACTACTAAAATCATAAAAAGCACTCCAAAGAATTATATACAACATGAATGTTATCTTTACAGGACAAAAAGATTAAAAAAAATCAGGAAAGAAAAAACGGATACAATCTGTTTTTGTAATTATGTAATAAAGATCTAGAATATAGGAACCAGAATCTCTGATATTCTAGAAATTTGTATAAAGAAAGTGAGAGTACACATAGGAGACCTTGAGTACACCTATGATAAATTTCTTTCTTTGTTTTTAATATTTATTTATTTGAGGATGAACATACAGTATATTTATTTATATTTATGGGATGTTGAGGATCAAAGCCTGTGCCTCATACATGTGAGGCAAGTTTTACCACCGAGCAACAGCCCAGCCCATCTTTCTCTTTTTTTTTTGAAGTATTTTTTAGTTGTAGATGAACACAATATCTTTATTTATTTATCTTTATGTGGTGCTAAGGATCCAACCCAGCCCCTCACATGTGCTAGGCAAGTGCTCTATCACTGAGCCATAACCCCAGCCTCTGATAAGTTTTTCTTGATAAAAGTCCTAAATCAGATATCTGACGTTAAGATATTTTATGATTTATTCATATTGTGCTCTATTCTTGTTTGTCAGTTCATTACATTTTATGATAAAATAATGTAAAAAAGTTTCTTTGTTTAGTATATTGGAAATCCTATTTCAAAAGAATTATGTATGCATACATATATGTATTCATAAGGAGAAATGATTCTTAGAATCTATAAAAAGATTTTTTACTTAATGAAACTGATGGAAACTTCTTTAAGTAAAGTAACACGAAGTGGGGATTTACTCTTGTTTACTTTAGGAAAAAAATGAGAAGAAATCAAGAAGCAATGGGATTATGTAACAGAAATTATGACAAAATCAATTTAGTAACATTACTTGCTATTGAGATAAAATAAAAAATGACAGCACATAAAACTTCTATATAGTTTTAGTCAGGACAAAAATCAATTGAAAACTATGACCAATAAGAGATAAAACAAGGATCATATGGGTGCTTATGAGAACCTCTGAAGGAAATGTTACATTTTTACTGACATTAAAAACAATCTAGAAAAAAAATGTTCCAAAAAAAATCACGTTACATTACAAGTAGTTATGATTAGAACAAAACATTTAACCATTAGTTTGCATTCTTTCTTCCCTTTTTTTTTTTTTTTTTTTTTTGAGACAGGATCTTGCTGTTGTTGCCAAGGCTGGTCTCAACTCTGGGGCTTAGGTGATCCTCTACTCACAACCTCCTGAGTATCTGGGACTATAGGCATACACCACTGTGTCTCGTTCGTTCTTTCTAGAAATAATGTTTTATAAGTCATGCTTTTATATTTGACCACTAAATAAATTTGCCATACAAATTACAACGTTTTGAGAAAGTCATTTTCAATTTTTTAAAAAACATTTTCTGCTGACCACAAACTAGGTATATAATGGTCTTCTGGAAACATAATTTTATCTGGAACTCAGCCTACCTGGATTGGTATAAAGCTGGCTTTCCACAGTTTTGCCAATGCACTGCAGCTTAATGGCCTGCAGGGAATCATCCACGTGCATGATGGTGGGCAGGCTACCCAGGGTGTCCTGCACCAAGTTGGCCACTTCCCGAACATCGAAGAGCTTCAGCAGCTCTGAGTACACTGCTGGGAAGGAACTCAGAAACACAGCCTTGAAGAGAAGAGAAATTTAAATCAATTTCCTGATAAATCATGAGAATTGTGACAGTATTTTAAAATGGAAGAAACATGAATACAAAATATTTCTGTTACCAAAACTAAAAAGGCAAAAATTTGAAAAGATCTGTGACAGAAGAAAGTTTTCAGGAATATGTAAAGAAACAAAATAATAAAAACTAAGAGAATCTAAAAATCACATTAGCAAAATGATTGTCAACCCCCCCCCCCAATCAGTAAAAGAGAATCAGAAGAGAATGAATGCATTACTAAGACCTGGATTTCGGTCACTTGGGTTTCATTCTGTTTTTGGCAAAGCTTTCTGAAATGGTCATTTTAATCTCATTTATCTCTAAGAGGCTGAACGTATCGATTCCCTAAAACATTCAATTTATGATTTAAGAGAAAACATAGGGCAGGGCAGAAAGCTCAGGTTAAATAAACTACTAACTTGTTTTCTAATCAACACTGTGACTTTGGAAAGTCATTTTAGTTTTACCACTTTTAAAATAAAAAAGACCATTGAACAATATCTTGCATCACTTCATGATCTATTATAAACCAAAAAGTGTATGTAAAGACTAAGAACAATTATTTTTTGGTCAATAAAGGACGCTTATGATCATTTTATATGGAAAAAATGGATGCCAATGTCAACTCCTGAGAGACATAACTTAAAAAATCGGGCTATGACTGAACATCAAAACAAACTCAGCTCTTGTAAATTCCATAAACAGAGGGCAATGGAAGGAGCTGTCAATCAGCCTCAACTGCAGTCACTGAGGGAAGCGGGTACAGGTTTCCACTATATTGAGCCTATAGAGCTCACTGGCTGCCCAGCCAGGGAAAGTCAACGCCATGGAAACTGAGTGCTGTCTACATGTGCTGATGATTCAAATTCAAAGAGCTAACGATTATGCTCTTGACTCTTAAAAATTATAATTTACTTCTTACTTAAAGTCAATAACTTGGTAATCTCTGTTAAAGACTATATTTATATAACTTTCAATGTACTCTGCAAAGAGCTGAGTCATATGAATGAAGTAAAATACAAGTGAAATGAAATAAAATGAGCCTAGTTTTTGGATTACTAAAACGTCAAATAAGTTGATTTTCTTCATGTACCCTTTAATGTATCCCTTAATTCTTTATTTACATCTTTTTTACTTTAAAAAAGTACCTGATACATATGTAATAAGACTATTAAAAAGGATAAAGAAACAAAGATTTTATGACAAGGACAGAAAGAAGTACTAGGGCAAGCTAAGAGTTTTTACTGAAAATAAAAATAAAAGTACAATTTAGTTTTGACCTTCCTGGTGGCCAAGACAAATAGGGAAAAATAATCAGCAGGAATTTACAGCAATATCTTGGGCCTTTAAACCTTCTGTCATTCCTTTTCTTTTCCAGGGGATCCTGGAGCAGGGGTCTGTCTGTGGAATGGGAAACCAAAAACCATTGCTATTCCAGTGAATTGGCCCTTAGTACTGCCCAAGGCAGAGGTACCCAGGAAAGTGTCATTGCAGAGCTGGGCTGTGGCCATGACATTAAATGAACCTCCTTACTAGGACCAGAACAGACAGATGTGGGGCTGCTGTCCACTGATCCAAGCTGAGAGATTGCTGGGATGGCTCTTCTGTCTCAAAGGAGTAGGCTTTCCCCTGAGTTGTAGCCATGAAAGAAATGCAAAATTGATCAAGAAATCTGGATTTCTCCCTTCAAGGCAGCCTGATAGAAAAGCCAAGGCCACGAATATCCTTGGTTCTGGATGTAGTAGAGAGAATTCAAAGAAGACCCCCAATGACCTTTGTTCCCACTGTTCTTACAATTATATTATGCTATAAGGCAAATGGGATTTTGCAGATGTAATGAAGGTTACTAATCAGTTGGCCTTAAAATATCGATTATATAGATGTACCTAACCTAATCACAAACCTTTAAAACAGAGTTTACTCTGGCTGGTAGCAGAAGCAATCAGAGAGATTCAAAGGATGAGAAGGATTCAGCATATGTTTGCTGGCTTTGAAGATGGAGAAGGCACATGCTGAAGAATGCCAGTGGTTCTAGAAGCCAAGAGTATCTCCCATGCCCCAGCTCACAGCCATCAAGGGAAGCCGACCTCAATCTTGCAAACACAAGGAAAGATTTCTGCCAACAGCCTAAAAAAAATCCTGAGAGCATATTCTTTTCCTAAGGCGCCAGATAAGACATCAAAGCCAATTCTTTGATTTTAGCTTTGGGAGACCTTCAGCAAAGAACTCAATGAACTCTGCCCAGACATCCAATCTTCAGAATTGTGACCCCATAAAAGAGCATTAATTAAAGTCATTAAGCTGTGGTCATTTGTTGTTCAACAACAGAAAAGGGTCACACTGAATCAATCAGATGAGTGACACCCTGCTTTTGTGAAGAAAGGTGTGAGATCACAAGGAAATCTGATATGGAAAGAAGTATGGCCTTCCCCTTCCTCCCAAAATATAGAAGGTCATGCACTCATTAAAAAACTCACCACTCTAGGGTGTTGGGGTGGTGGCTCAGCGGTAGAGTGCTGGCCTAGCATGTGTGAGGTACTGGATTAGATTCTCAGCACCGCATATAAATAAATAAAATAAAGGTCCATTGACAACTAAAAAATATTTTTTAAAAACCCCTCACCAATCTATCATTTTATATGAGCTTTTTCTTAGCATCAAACTAAAAAGAAAATTATTACATCAAAATTTAGGGGTAAAGGATACTGTACAAAACAATAAAGAATGACTTCAGAAAAACTGATAAAGATATTCAGAAGCTTTGCACATATTTTGTATATTATCTCTTGATTAGGAAAAAAATCAAATAGGATTATATTTTGGGAGTTGGCTTTATGTCTTATCAGGCAGTTAAGGGAAAAAATCAAATATGATTATATATTTATTTATTTATTTGGTAGCAGGGATTGAACCCAGGGCACTTAACTACTGAGCCACATCCTCAGCCCTTTTAAAAATATTTTATTAGAGACTGTGTCTCACTAAGCTGCTGAGGCTGGCTTTGAACTCGTGAGCCTCCTGCTTCAACCTCCTGAGTTGCTGGGATTACAGGCATGTATCATCGCGCACAGTTCAAATACGATTCTTGAAAGGTGCCAAAGTTGTTTCTCAAACTTGGTTGTGGATAGAATGTCAATAACCAAGAGCAATAGAAGTCAGTGTGTTACAAAAATAAAAGCAGAATTACTCTCCCTGCAGTACCACAGTGGCCGGAGTCACCTTATGGGGATGGTTAGGGTTCAAAAGAAATACAACTAAGGTAAAGAAATATTTCTATAGCTTTAAAGAGGGTTAGAAATCTCTAGAATGTCTAGGAAGTGAGAACCCATGAATTAAAGTTACTCTTAAGAGTAAGAAAATATTTTTCAGGTTCAAATTAGGCAAACTTTGTCTCTGAAACCAGTAAAGAGAAATCTTAGGATGAAAACTCAAGTTACGAATACGAATAGCTTTTGTAGAAACGGAAACATGATGGGAACATGTGGTTAGCCTGCTGGATTATGCTTCTCAAATATCGACTACTTCAAGTAGGGTTTGGCTACTGGGCATTTGATATTGAGGTCTCTGGCAAGTTCCTGAAGTGCAGTGATTGTGCTGTTGACTAGAGAGGCCAAGATGACATTTAAAAAAGCCTGTGTTGTATCCTTGCCCAGATGGAAGATGAGTCCATCACTGTACAGAAGAGAATGTGACAAGAATAGCAATAAACAGTCAGAAAAAGCACAGCTCTATTATCACAGGACTGGTACACTTCTGCTGTTTTTGCTATCATATATTATGCCTTCCAAATGCCCCATGTCACCAAATTGTGTCAAAACCATTAAGGATCTAGTTTGATCTCATCTCCCTTGATATGTGCTCAAGGATTAAAAGTCTCTGGTCTCCAGAGTATGAACAGAGCTTGCTTCTTCTGACAGATTTGAAACCAAGTCATTAGAAATAGAAGTACATAAGAAGGATTGAGAAAGAATAGAGAAAGATATTCAGAATTATCTCTTGAAACAGGTACAAGGCCATGCTATTTGGAAAGTAGATGGATCCTGTTCTAAAACAAAAAACAAAAAGCAATATGTTAGGCTACACCTGGTAAGAGAACCTGGCAGCATGAACTCAGCTCTGGTCTTACACGATCAGTCCCAGGATGATTACAGTCAAGTTAAATAAAACAAAACAAAACAACATGCAGTTTAGTGAAGTCTAATGATTCTCAATAGATGAAAATGCAGTACCACGCTTGGGGGAAAGAACTGCAATAGATTGGCTCTCTTACAATTCCTCCCCTGAGGCTGATGGTGATGTGCCTGACCAGCAGGATGCATCGTGGTAACTGAAATAAGGAGCAGGCAACCAACAGCCCCTCTAAGCAGAGGGAAGGGCTGGGAAAGGCAATCTAGGGAAAGCTGGTGCTCAGAGCTGGGGATGCTTAAGTCTATTCACAATGATGATCAGACTACAAATATGAACTGTGGAGCTGTGGATTTCTGGTGGGGAATTTCAGTTATGCTGTATGTAAAACAACAACAACAACAACAAAACAAAAAAAGAAAACCCAGATCACATTCACAGTTTTCCTCCATTCAGCAGAGAAGGAAACAAATTACCTGTGACTGAGATAATGCTCCAGATCCTTTGCTCTCTTGTGAAAGAAAGAAACGGACGGACATAAGGAGCTCCTGAATGCAGCAGCGGAATTCCTCTTCATTTTGCCCACCAGTGGCAAGGGAAAAGAGCCTTCGGGATTGAACTATGTATTTAAAAATGTATTCTTGTGCCTGAAAAGGAAAAGTTTAAAAAGTTAGCTTCAAAGGAGAGCAAGAGTATTTATGTAACCATGACACAGCATAAAAAGCATGGTACAGTATTAGACTTTTCAACTACTGATTTAAACACCAAGGTCCTGTGAGATTTTTAAATGTATTTACTTGAAGTGGGTAAGAGCCATTTTTTGCTAATGCCTAATAAATGTACAGAAAATTTAAAATGTTTTATAATTCTGAATGAATGCTGAATTCATGAATGCTGAATATTTTTGATCCTCAGATGGCTTTTTAGATTTGGTCCATGAAGAGATACCTGATTTTCAAAAGTGATTTTGGAACTTAGTGAGGCCCTAAGCAACTTAGACCCTGTCTCAAAATAAAAATAAAAAGGGCTGGGGATGTGGTTCAGGGGTTAAACAGCCTGGGTTCAATTCCTGATAACAAAAAAAGTGATTTTGCTTTGGTAGGTACTCTTGTCACTTGGCATTTTACCTTCAAGCAGACCAAAATGAAAAATTCATAATGATTACAATGCTTCTTTCAAAAAAATGAATACTTTACCTGTAATACATAGGATGATACTCAACAGAAGACTACCAGGGCGGGGCCTAGACCACTGAGAATTTGTATTGTCCTTGAACATTAATCAGATATTAGTATCTCCAAATACAAAGGAACATATAAGGCCCAGAGACAGGAACAGCATCAACCATGAGACCCAGTAAAGCCTCAGGTTTCCTTATTTTGATCCTTGCTCAACAACCCTATTCTCTCTTAAAATTTAAGATGCATGATTCTCAGATGGTCTCTGTCAGGTGGATAGAAACCAGAGCCAGGAACTTCTAAGCTTAACTGCTCATGTGCAGTCTTCTTTCATAGGCCCTTTCCCCCTGACACTCAGGAATTTGACTTCAAGTTTCCAGGAGGCCAGAGAGGCAAGGATTCAATCCTGAGCAGGTTCCAGTCGACAAGCCTGGCAAAGTCCCTTTTGAATTTCATCAGCTCTGGAGCAGCATAAGCTGATTAAGATCCTTGAATTGGAATGTCAGTAACATATCATCACCAATTACTGTCTGTGTAGAGGAGACCAATTAGTCTAAGCATCACCGTGCCACAGCTTTGTTAGAATATGTTATCTGTTTTCAACAGCATGCTATTACCTTCAGCACCTCCTGGATATGCTCTTGCCGCTCTGCTTCTGTTATCCTGTCCACATACCACTTGAGAACTTTGATGAGATCTCTAAAATACAGGGAGAAATGTGCACAAAGTAGAGTTGGTTGCACTTTCAATGAAATGCCAATAAACCTGAAATGTGCATCATGAGGAATCTTCTTTCCCTGTGAGGTTCATAGTTTTCTGTCAATTTGCTATATAATATCTTACTAAGCCTGTAGATCGATGTCACTACCTCTTTTTGAAGCTAAAGAGAGAAAATGTGCTGTCTCCCCTTGAAATTCCCCTTAATCTGAACATATTCCATTGCCCACCCTATTTCTGGCAATGCTCTCTCAAAGGAGTGAACACAAATACTGGAGAAAAGGATTCTGGCCAAGCAAGTGGCTGGAAGTAGGGATGTTGTAGTCAACCCTGAACAACTGCTAGCTGGGATTTCTTCCCCACTGATCACATGAGCAGATAGATGGATTACCTTTCAGCTGCAGGCAAAAGGGAGTAAAAGCAATACCTGAAACTCCAAGCTACACCCCCATGGATTTCTCAGGCCATGAAAAAAA